CAGTGGTACCTCGGGATGCGAACGGGATCCGTTTCAGAGCCCTGTTCGCATCCTGAATGGAATGCAAGACGTGGCAGCGTGTCTGCGCATGCACGAGTAGCGAAACCCGGAAGTAACGCGCTCCATTACTTCCGGGTCGCCGCAAAACGCAACCCAAAAGCGCTCAACCTGAAGTGTATTTATCCCGAGGTATGACTGTATTCTATTCCGAACTTAAAAATGGAAAGCATAATGCTGGTGGTCAGCAAAAGAGGTTTAAAGGCTCTCTCAAGGCAAATCTAAAAAAATGTAGTATAAACACCAACAATTGGGAAACACTGGTCTGCGAGCGCTCCAATTGGAGAACAGCCTTTACCAAGGTGTCATGGGCTTTGAAGACACTCAAACTCAGGACGCAAGGGAGAAACACGTTAAGAGGAAGGCACGCTTGGCAAATCCACACCGTGATCAACTCCTGCCCAGAAACCAATGTCCCCACTGTGGAAGGACGTGTGGATCCAAAATTGGCCTCCACAGTCACTTACGGACTCACTGTTAAAACCGTGTTTATGGAAGACAATCTTACTCGGCCACAAGTGATCGCCAAAGAAGAAGAAGACCGCACCCTGTTGTTGTAACCTCCCCCTGGAACCTCATGACGAAGGATGGGGCAAGAAATATTATTCAAGAAATAAACAAATCATTTTGAAATATTGGTGGGATGGTTGCTCTGAAGGAGATCCTCCCAAGCCCCTTTGACAGAGTGACAAGTGAAAAACCCCTCAGGAGGAATCTAGAGCAATATAGAGGAAGAGTTTCCTTATATAAAGAGGCTTTAATTGTGAGAATATAACTGCTTCTTACCAGAACCTTACAGGATGGAGAATGTCTCTCATCTCCCCCTCACCAGCAAATTGTTTCTCATCTATAAGCAGTCCTTGCAATATCAGCACTGTGGGAATCAGTTGGTTATAAGCTACAAGCAGCTTTAAAAACCTGCATGATTTAGAAAAGGATTTTTTTTTTTTTTTGGAAGGAACAATATGGTGCTAGACTTGCATTATCACCCTTGCAAAGCCACTCATTATACATATTTGGTTGTACTCGGTAACAGTACATATGGCTTTCCTTTCAAATGCTCCACCATCCCCATATTTGCAAAGTAGCAACATGGCGTTAAATTTACATAGTTTTAAGTAATTCCACCCTCCTGTCTTAGAGCCTTTGGTTTAATATTGATTTTGGAAAGAGCAGTGATTCATTCTGTTTTAATTGATCTCGCCCCCTGTAGATGTCTGCTGCTGGTTAATGCCCTTCACTGGGAAAGTAGAGCAAGATGATATATATTGCCGGTAACTTGTATTCTCCAGATATATTGCATTGTAGAGCTACCAGATTCTGATGTGGGGAAACTTTAAACACTTCCAGGTTCAGGAGTTTCCCCAAATCTGGTAGCTCTACAATACTAGTGGGTTCTGGTGCAATCTTGCATGACCTTGCCAAAATCTCGTGAGATCTCTGCTAGATCTGGCAATATTTTGTCGGAAGGTGGTACTAATGTCAGCACTGCTTCTCTGCCACTGGCAGAGGTGGCAGGATACCAACAGGGGCACCGCCTTGGGGTCTTCTGCTGCTTGAGGCAGCTGCTTCACCCCGCCTGATGGGAGGGCCGGTCCTGCCTGAGACTATAGATGGATGAATCTGTCAATTTTAGTTTCTCTTATCTTCTCATTTTTCCAGTATCCAGTTTAGTTGATTTGCACATCAGCAGTCTGATTTGGGGTTTTTTTAAAGCCCTTCTGAAAATTCATCAGGGTTTTAGTGCAAAATTCTACTTATATATCTAATTCTGTATGGAATTTTGCCTAATATTCACATAATTTTGCAAAGCAATGGCTCCTTAACATAATGTATTTTTGCGTGTTATTTTCCTGAAATACAGTGGTACCTTGGGTTAAGTACTTAATTCGTTCCGGAGGTCCGTTCTTAACCTGAAACTGTACTTAACCTGAAGCACCACTTTAGCTAATGGGGCCTCCTGCTGCCGCCGCGCTGCCAAAGCACAATTTCTGTTCTCATCCTGAAGCAAAGTTCTTAACCTGAAGCACTATTTCTGGGTTAGCAGAGTCTGTAACCTGAAGCGTATGTAACCTGAAGCGTATGTAACCCGAGGTACCACTGTATGAACATTACCATGCTATATGCATTTTTGTACACTTAATTTTGCTGGAGAATTGCACTGGAGAGGTGTGTGAATTTCAAAGAATGGCTGTGTTCGGGTGCATGTACTTTATCTGGAAAGCGCAAATTATGTAGCTTCACCTTTAATGTGAAATGGATCAGATTTCTCCCCTATGCCTATCCGGAAAACAAGTATCTGTCAGATTTCCTCTTCCCCAATCAACTGACCTGGGATTGTGGGGCAGTAGATGTATGGGATTGCTGCAGTGCCTTCTCTGTAGTGGTGCCCTGGCTGTGGAAGGGCTCCTCTGGAAGGCCTGTTTATCAATCATTTGGCCTGATTTGCTTGCACAGAGCTTATGGGGAGTTTATATTAGGTCTCTTCCTTAGTGAGGCTACTGCTCATTGTCAAAGCACCTCCCTGAAGTTTTGTGAATAAAAAATTACATATTATAATAATGAACATGCAACAACCTATTAAAAACACCCAGCAGCCTAAGCAACAATAATGCCAGACCTTTTGGCACAGATGAAAATATGGACATCCTTGTGTACTTCTAACCTTCACTGCCCCCGTGCATTCTCCAACTAAAGTGTGCCCTCCTTTTGCACATTGCTGATGGCATTTCTTTGCTGGCTCTGCAAGAAATGGGCTAGAACAGTCACACACACACACACACACACACACACAACACACACACACCTGCTCTTCGAAGAAACATAAGACTGTCCAGTCTGTAGGGATGGATGAATCTGTCAATCTAGGTCTACTCTTCCAATCTTAAGTTCTGTTCTCCACATCTCCACACCAATCTGCATTTTAAAAATAATCTTCATGACTTTTAGTGTGACGTTCTCCTGATATATAATTTTTAAACGCAATTTTGCCCAGGAGGTGCATTTTTGCAAGCAATTTCCCCCGAGGTAATTCACTTTTGTAGGATACTTTCCACCCTAGCAAACACATTTTTATCTACATTACCATGGCTGGAGATAAAAAAGGTAAAGAGACCCCTGACCATTAGGTCCAGTCGTGGCCGACTCTGGGGTTGAGGTGCATATCTCACTTTATTGGCCGAGGGAGCCGGCCTAAAGCTTCCAGTTCCTGTGGCCAGCATGACTAAGCCCCTTCTGGTGAACCAGAGCAGCGCATAGAAACGCCGTTCACCTTCCCGCCGGAGCGGTACCTATTTATCTACTTGCACTTTGACGTGCTTTCAAACTGCTAGGTGGGCAGGAGAAGGGACCGAGCAACGGGAGCTCAACCCGTCACAGGGATTCGAACCGCCGACCTTCTGATTGGCAAGTCCTAGGCTCTGTGGTTTAACCCACAGCACCACCCGCGTCCCCCTGGCTGGAGATACTGCACTGCAAAATTCAGAGAGGTGCAAATTTCAAAAGAGAGACGTGTTTCAGGTGACACATTGCTCCAGGAAGTGCAAATTAAAGAAGTCCGCCTTTAAATGTGATCAGAACTGCGTTTCTTTCCCATCCTTACCATTCAGTCTCGTAGTGAGGATCTGGCTGCAATGAATATCTAGAATGGCCTCTGCCACTCAAGCACATCCAGCGACATTTATCACATCGAGGGGCCGTTATGGGTGAGGGTGAAAGTTTGGAAGCAGCCCACTGGTGTTACGTTCATGCATTCATGTGCAATCCCGTGCATGCCTGCTCAGAAGTAAGTCCCACTGAGTTTAAGGAGACTTGAGTAAAGTTAAAGGGACCCCTGACCATCAGGTCCAGTCCTGACCGACTCTGGGATTGCGGCGCTCATCTCGCTTTATTGGCCGAGGGAGCCGGCGTACAGCTTCCGGGTCATGTGGCCAGCATGACTAAGCCGCTTCTGGCAAACCAGAGCAGCGCACAGAAACGCCGTTTACCTTCCCGCTGGAGCGGTACCTATTTATCTACTTGCACTTTGACGTGCTTTCGAACTGCTAGGTTGGCAGGAGCAGGGACCGAGCAACAGGAGCTCACCCGGTCGCAGGGATTCGAACTGCCGACCTTCTGATCGGCAAGTCCTAGGCTCTGTGGTTTAACCCACAGCACCACCCCCATGGCTGGAGATACTGCACTGCAAAATTCAGAGAGGTGAAAATTTCAAAAGAGAGACGTGTTTCAGGTGACACATTGCTCCAGGAAGTGCAAATTAAAGAAGTCCGCCTTTAAATGTGATCAGAACTGCGTTTCTTTCCCATCCTTACCATTCAGTCTCATAGTGAGGATCTGACTGCAATGAATATCTAGAATGGCCTCTGCCACCTTCCCGCCAGAGCGGTACCTATTTATCTACTTGCACTTTGACGTGCTTCCAAACTGCTAGGTGGGCAGGAGCAGGGACCGAGCAACAGGAGCTCACCCGGTCGCAGGGATTCGAACTGCCGACCTTCTGATCGGCAAGTCCTAGGCTCTGTGGTTTAACCCACAGCGCCACCCGCGTCCCTAAGGAGACTTACTCCAAGGTTAATGCAGCCTGCGTGCGGAATCATAACGCAACTGGCTCTCCTTTTACCAAATTTAACCAAACGGAAGACTTCTATTGCATTCTGTCAGGGCACAGTTGCAAACTTACTAAATAAATAAAAAAATTCCCTCCCCAACTCCCCCTCTCTCGAGGAATAGAAGGGAGAGGTTTTTTTTACCACCAGCACACCCTTAAATAAGTAAATAAATAAATAAAATACACAGGGACCTGTCCCTGGTTAAGGACACTCGGAAAGCGTGATTCAAATGTTTCCTTTGGTAATGAGGTCTGTGTTGTCAGATAATAGATTATCCTGGCGGTGTCTACAAGGATAGACTAGTTTGGAACGAGCACAGACAAGGCTGGGCACTAGAGCAGGCAGTGACTAAGAAGCTTCTGAAATTTGTCATGTCAGGGGAGGAGGAGGGGAACTTCAACTAAGCTGTTGCTTTTGCCGGGGAAAGAAAACACCGGGCGTCTGCATGTGCGCGTGTGTGCGCGCTCACTAGCTGACAAGATACCGCTTCGGAGCGGCTGGTATTTGAGCTCACGGAGGCTCAGCGGTGGGCTGCCGGAGCCCGTCTTGGATACAGCTGTTGCTCTGGTGAGGCAAAAGGAAGCAGAAAAAGCAAACTCGGAAATGCCGGCTCGGGTTTAATGCGTTCCCAGTAATTGCAGAGTCAAGAACGATCCATTCAAAAGCACTCAGGTAGGTGCTTGTATTGAGTTGTGTGAATTTTAATACATATAGAGAGGGATTGTGTATGAGTGAATGAGAGAGAGAGAGAGAGAGAGAGAGAGAGAGAGAGAGAGAGAGAGAATATAAATGATTGCTAGGTAATGGATCATGGAAAGGGGTATGGGAGAGCAATAAATGATGCTATTGTTGATTTGATTGATAATAATTCTGGAAAGAGGACAGTTAGATTTAGAAAGCTCAAGATGGCCTTTCTCAGGACCATTTCAGAATTTTCAGATTTTTTAACTCTTAAAGTTGTCTAGAAAAAATTGCTAAAGTTTGTTACTTAAGTCATTTGTGGTTTGCTTCTCTGTGTGTGTGTGTGTGTGTGTTTAAATGACACCTGAAGAAGAAAGACTGGGGATGGCACAAGTGTTCAAAAACTCACCGTGAATACTTTAACCAAAATGATGGGGAAACTGGGTATGAATGAGAGAAAAGCCAAATAATTTATTTTTTCATATGCTTGGAGTTTCCTGTTTCACTGGAGTTTATTTGGGCAAAAATTACTCAAATCCATTATAAAGATGTGGAGCAGTGATTTTTGGCTTGAGCCCAGTCTGAGCGGTGGGGGAAATTAAATATGTAATCCTATATACAAATAACTCTGGAATACTCCTCATTGAGTTCAATGGAGATTACTTCTGAGTCGGAAGGCCATTGGGATGAGTTTTTTCAGCCTTTGTGTCTATGCTCCACTCTTTTTTTAAGGAATGTTATGAAAGGGGTTAATGCAATGGCATTCCCAATTAATTAATTTCATCAGTTCCTCATCCATTCTACTAATGCCTCATTAATTCCTAATTCCACCGTATGGAAGTAGCAGTAGACTGTAAACCGGTCTCTTAACTGCTGGGTAGAAAAATACCTTCCAGATCTGAGGGGAAATCACACATTGGGCACAATTTGCTCACCGTAAAATGCCTCCAAGTCCTATTGATGTCAATAGGAAACTTAAGCTGTTGCTTAACTCACTTCCATTGAAACCAATGGGACTCCAAATCGTTTAGCTCTGGCTGGATCTTGCCCAGTGTGTATGCTTCCTAAAACAGAGAGGCACAGACTTGAAGGTCACATCCTCGAAGCCCTCACATCCCTGCTAAGAAAGTCGAGGGGTGGGGGCTTGTTGTGGCTACTCTGTACGTGCTCAGAAGAAGCCTCCTTTTAACTGTATCGCATGGCTCCTCTGGGAGTCCTCCTTGCACTGGAAACCTGTCTCCAAGGCATAGTCTTATATGCATCCAATACACATCTTCTGTGGCTATTTCTTGGAGTTGTAGCTCACTCTGTGCCACGGTGATCTCAGGACAGGTGACGATTCCCTCTTACGCCACGCCAGGGGCTTTGTGCAATTGATAGCAATGCCTTGAAAGGTTGTGTCTTTGCAGCAGTGGGGCATTGAAAGGTGAGGGTTCGAATCCTGCCCTCTTAGGGCTTGGCTTCATTACCGTTTTTCATAGCCTTTCCACGAGGGAGGGGGGTCACAGCTCATGCGCTGTCTGCTGCAGATCTCTGGTTCAATCCCACACATCTTTACCCTAGTCCCTGGGAAGCCATATCCAACCAAAGGTTGCAGCAATATACCGAGTTAGCACAACCAATGGTTTGGCACAGACAAAGGTGGCTTCATGTGCACTGTGTCCTTGAACCTCACAATTTCCCGCTTGTTTAAAGCGGGTAGAGGTATTGATCCAGGTAAAAAACCCCTCCCTTACAAAATGCACACCATCCTTACTCATTTGTTCCTCCCTGACAAAGGCTAGTCAGACGATTACTCAGTCCACTTCTTTGGAGAAGCTCAGTGTGGCGAAAGGTCGAGATGCAATTTCTATGCGACGCAGAGCATTTCTATGCGACACAGAGATGTAGAGATTGTAGGGTTAAACCTCAAGGTAGCGTTTTGGGCTAACTGATCACATCAGTTAAAAGGGTCCGTGGTTCCGGATCCATGCAGCGCAGCCTATGTTTATTATATAATTTTGCAGCCGTCTCTTTTATTTTTAATACTCCGCTGAATCACAATGTGTGTGCGTTCACATTTTTGGAATGCCAATGATAAAAATGGCAAATAGTTGGGCAGAGATCCAGTCCCTGGAAAAAAAGAAGTTTGGACGAGCCCGAGAAATTGTGTCTCCTTGGAATATGCAGAAATGCGGGGATCAACCTGATCAATGATATGCAGCCACCTAATGGCAAACCAGCTTGTTGGGACCCCTTCCTGCTTGCAGCCTTCTCGATTCGAGGAGGGCAAAGCAAAAACCGGACAAGCTAGCAGTGCAGGGAGAGCAGAAACCTAGGTGGGCTTTCACAGCATGTGTTGTTGTTCTTGTTTAGTCGTTTAGTCGTGTCTGACTCTTCGTGACTCCATGGACCAGAGCATGCCAGGCACTCCTGTCTTCCACTGCCTCCCACAGTTTGGTCAAACTCATGTCCGTAGCTTCGAGAACATTGTCCAACCATCTTGTCCTCTGTCGTCCTCTTCTCCTTGTGCCCTCCATCTTTCCCAGCATCAGGGTCTTTCCCAGGGAGTCTTCTCTTCTCATGAGGTGGCCAAAGTATTGGAGTCTCAGCTTCAGGATCTGTCCTTCCAGTGAGCACTCTGGGCTGATTTCCTTCAGAATGGATAGATTTGATCTTCTCACAGCATGTATATATGCATTATTTGTTTATTTATTCAAAACATTTCCATGCCGCCCCGAAAGTCAAAATTCCTGGGGCGTTTTGCCATGACAATACAAATAGCAAGATAAAAACAAGGAAAAGCAAGTGCCAAAATAAGGAGGAAAAGCCGTAGCTAAGTGGCAAGCACCTGCCTTGGATGCAAAAGGCTCCTGTTTCTATCCCATCTCCGCTTATAGCAGCCTGAGAGAGCTGCTGCCTGTCCGTGTTGACAGTACTGGGCTGGATGGACCAATGGTGTGGCTCAGTACGGGGCTGCTTCCTATAATCTTAATAAATCACCTCAGGTGGGAAATGGCTTAAAGGGTTTTAAAAATAATAATAATTTGAAATGAATTTATCCCCAGTGCCTTTGGAAGGATCAGATTTCAGTCACCACAGGGTCTTCTTTTATCCCAACAAGTCAGTATAATTCTATTATCCTCCAGAGGCTGCTGTTTTATCCACATGTACCTTTAATGTTTTTAAATGTACCACATGTTTTTAATGTTCTGTTGAAAGCCGCCCAGAGTGGTGCTAGGGAAACCCAGCCATATGGGCGGGGTAGAAATAATAATAATAATAATAATAATAATAATAATAATAATAATAATAATACCTGGGAGGGAGTTAAGCTCCGTGACAAACATGGACTTATTCCTGAGTAGGCACACGAACACAAATGCACAGTTAAGGATTGTAATTGATAAGTTTTCAAGACCTCGTGTCAATATTTTTGCTCTTTCTTTTTTCAGAAAAGGAGAGAGATGCTAGACTTGGCTCTAGATGCAGTAGACTATGGACTGGCACATGCTAAAATCCGCCAGCCTCTTCAAAGTAGATTACAAGGACTCTTACCTCTCCTTAGTTCTTGGCCATCAGTTAAACACACAAATGCACACACCACCAGCAACAAAAACAAACAAACCAACCCTGCTATACATTTTGAAATGATTTGAATTTCAAATTTGAGCTTAAAGCTTGAAACAGGAATTGAGGGGATGCTCATCAAATTTGCAGATAACACCAAACCTTAACAGATTGGAAAACTGGGCGCAATCTAACAAAATGAATTTCAATAGGGACAAATGTCAGGTTCTACACTTAGGCAGGAAGAACTGGGTGCACAAATATAGGATGGGGGGCACCTGGCTTAATGGCAGTACATGTGAAAAAGGGATCTAGGGGTCTTGGAGAACCATAAGCTTAACATGAGTCAACCGTGTGATGCAGCGGCAAAACAAGCTAACGTTGTTCCAGGCTGCATTAACAGAAGTCTAGTGTCTGATCAAGAGAGGTAATAGTACAGCTCTGTTCTGCCTTGGTCAGAACACACCTGAAATACTGTGTCTAGTTCTGGGTGCTGCAGTTTAAGAAGGATATGTTGACAAGCTGGAAGGTGTGCAGAGGAAGGCGACCAAGATGATCAAGGGTCTGGAAACCAAGCCTTATGAGGAATGGTTGTGGGAATTGGGTATGTTTAGCCTGGAAAAGAGTGGACTGAGACGAGATATGGTAGCCATCTTTAAATATCTAAATGGCTGTCGCACGGAAGGTGAAGCAAGCTTGTTTTCTCCTGCTCTGGCAGGTAGGACCCGAAGTAGTGCATTTAAGTTACAAGAAAAGAGATTCCGACTAAACATCAGGAAGAACTTTCTGGCAGTCAGAGCTGTTTGGCAGTGGAACAGAGTCCCACGGGAGGCAATGGACTCTCCTTCCTTGGAGGTTTCTAAGCAGAGGTTGGATGGCCATCTGCCATGGATGCTTTAGCTGAGATTCCTGCATTGCAGGGGGTTGGATTAGAGGACCCCTGGGGTCTCTTCCAGCTCTAAGATTCTATGAAGGCAAAATTATGCATGATGCTTCAAAGATTTGTGTCCCATCAATGCTGGAGTGGAGTGGGGTGGGTGTTTGAGGCAGCGTTGGGTTTGAATGAAGCTCCATATCCCTGCCCAGTCACAAATCTCCCACTATGGCCTTGGGCAAGTCTGAACTTACTAGGGCTCTTGCCAGGGTTCTGCTTTGCTGCTTTAAGCCAAGCAGGGAGCTATTGCGTTGCCAGCGGCCTGCAGTGAAATTTTTTCTCAGGGGAATAGTTAAGGCCAGAGGTGCCAGCATGCAAGGGCAGTTGGAGGGGGGAGTGATGTGTGTGTGACATCACACATGTTAAAGATTTTCTTGTTTTACAGAAGTATGTGTAATGTCTCTCGTATTTTTTCCATGTAACATTTTTACAAATCCATTTCATTTGTTGAGACATTATGGGGAGAAAAAAAGGGGTGGGGGGGAAGATGGGTGGGGGTTGGGGTCGG